CGCCATTTCTTCGTCCTCCCTTCGTACGTGGTCCTTGTTCCGGAGACTGCCGTCCCAGAAAACCACGTCTTCACCGCTCGCGCGACAAATCGCTTTGGAATTCCTATGAAGAGTGTTCGTTACCAGCTGAAGGACAACGATGAGGTAAAATTGATCCTTCAATCTAGGTTATTTGGAGATTTCAAAGGTTTAAATGATAACGACAACGTCTGGAACATTGCCAAGAATAGCGCTTCTGCTTCCTTTCGAAATGTACACTAATCGAATGAAAACTGTACTGTACAAAGTTCCCCCCCCCCCTCCTCCTCCCACTCCTTCACCACGTTCAGATGCCTTTGTGGGAACCTGCTAAGCTGGTCTCTGTAGATGTTGATCCTCTCCAACTATGGCCTCTCGTGGGATGCACAGTCTGAAACCTTTTAGTATTGGGAGGTTCCTGAAGAAGATTCAGTTTTGTGTGAAAAAATCGCAACTGGTCGCGTTGTCACAACGGTGCCTATGCTGCAGTACGCAACCACATATATTGGCTATATATCGTCAGCTTCCATGGCTTTGGACCTCAAAAAATGCGATTTATCTGATTCACTGCAGTTTAGACCTTCAGACGCTCCTCAGGATCAAGCTATCATGGTTCTTTGCTCGATTATGAAGTAGAGGTGTGAAATAAACCGCTATTAATTAGCTGAAAATCCTAAAAATGGAGGGTCCTTTTCTTAAGGCTGTGGAGGGTTCTAAAAAAAACAACGGGATGAAGATATTGAGCGTTGTGGAGAGAGAAAGGATCGGTGACGAGAGAGTCGAGAGCAGATTTGGTCTATGACATCAATTCTTGGTGCGGAACTTCGCGTGCTCGCTTCATCCGCCGTGTACGGCTTCAACCCGTGGCCTGCTCCTGGGTTGTGCCTATAACTAGCGCTGGATTATGAATCGGATTCCAAAGAGCATTCGCCATGCGGCCACCCCCTAAAATCGGCGGAAACACTGTTAGGATTTGAGATCTGCTGGCTTTGTTCTAAACCGCCAGCGCTGTACTCTACCCCACCACGCTGAGGACTTGATCCCATTTATTACCCACCATCAGCGGCATGCCTATGGCTTTCGTGAGGGCTGTTCACTGGTTACCAGCCACACTTCCTTCCCTCCCCCTCTCCTTCAGCGGGAAGCGCTGGATTTATAAAGGATAAAAGGATAAAGCATTTGCCGTTGATCAATCCCTTTTTGGGATGCGGCACGCATTCTACTTCCATTTGTACATTCGTAGTGGCGTTTGAATGCGATGTGGCCTATACAATGACTTGCGGGGGCCAGCCGATGTACAAGTCAGTGTTTTTTATCCTCCCAGACAAGTCTGGTACCAATTAACCGACCCCGGAGGGATGGAAGGCTTGGTTGGCCCGGGCGACTCACGACCCAGGATTTGATCCCCGGACCGCTCGCGTGGTGAGCGCCACTTGTCACTGCACCACTTCCGCCAGCGGGAATTATCTCCAACCTATTTGTTATTATTTATTCTTACTTTTCAGACCTTTTCAATACAACCGACGAATGGATCGGTCCGGCTGAGGCGCGAACTGGATTATGAAACCAAGCATCCTACAAGATGTCTCTGTCGGCTTCCGATGGAAATGTACGTTTTGATTGAGCTTGCCAGATGTGGTTTCCCAGGATAATGAACATCCTTGAATGAATTAGCTTCAGGGTAGATCCGCTGTAGTTTCTCTTGAATTCGTTGTGCTGCCTGTCGATGAGTTTCCTCCTGTGTTCACCCATTCGAGCTACACATTCCAGGTGAGCATAAATATTATAGTTTATGACACTCAAAATCGCATACGCAACAGAAGAAGCATGCATGGCGCATCCTAATTTTTCTATATTGATATTTCTAAGGTACCACTTGACGCCACTGCCGGTGACAGCATCGGTGATGTACTGGCAGTTGATGCTGACGGAGGTGTTCATGGTATACCCGAATACCGTATTGAACCGCCTAGCGACTTGGTTATGGTAGATGAGGTTTCAGGACTGGTGAGTACTTCCGAATTTACCGTAGTCTTTCTGGAGCTGATCAGCCCTTTTCAGATAACGCTCAAATCCAAACCGGATCGCCGTCGTAATCATACGGTAGAGCAGATTACTGTAATTCGCAGCCAGCAGTCATCTGCAACAGACAAAAGTTATTGTTTACCTCGAGGTAAGAAATAAGCTGATTTTACAAGTTTTCTGATCGATATTACCCGAGATACCTAATCCAGTAATGGCCGTGCTTTAGATTGGCGACTTCCCTGTTCGACCAATGAATTCGGCCATTTCGTCGAACATCTTCAAGATTGGGGCTGTTGCTACTGCGGCTTTATTCGTGCTGTTGATCTGTCTTCTCGGCTGCTGCCTCTTTGGCTATCGGTCTTCGAAACCCAAAGAAATCGATAGCCCACGAAAACAGGTTGGTTGTGCTCAGGGCGCTGCAAAACATACAAAAATAACTCCCCTGAAGCTGCTACCCACTGCACCAAGGACTCGTACTAACGATTGTCGTCCTGTCCCTCTTCAGATTTGATGA